TTGAAAACTTCGACGCCCATGAAATGTTCATCGATAATGCTAGAAAATAACAGTGGTTACCAATATGTTGTGCGCACATTATGCTCACTACAAAATAAAAACTGAACGTTCCAACAATGTTTACCAGCAATGAAAGAAAGCAACAGCTCGTAATAATGTACCTTTCACAAATTTTTCTCACTACAAGACAAAATCGGTACATTGATTTGATGTTGACGGGTGATAAAACAAAACTATGGCTTTTACGAAGCTACTTCTCGTTTATCTCGTTTGCGTTCCATGAAAGCATGAAGGTCTGTCAAATCATCACTGTCGATGCAAGAAAATAACAGCCCTTACGATGATACCATTCGGATATTCGATTGACTACACGATAAAAAATAAACTTCTGTAGGGTATTTCTCAGTGATAAAAGAAAGTAATGTTCTAGAAAAAGGTGCCATTCACATATTTTACTCGTTATAAGAAACATACTGAACGTTTGTAGACTGTTTCCCAGCAATGAAAGAAAACAATACGTCTTAAAAAACTTCGATTCACATATTTTACTCGTTATAAGAAACATACTGAACGTTTGTAGACTGTTTCCCAGCAATGAAAGAATGGAGCAGCTCGTAGTAATGTACTTTTCACATATTCTGCTTCCTAGGAGAGAAAATCGGCACGTTCATTGGAAGCTGACGGGTGATGAAACAAAAGTACGACGTTTACGATGGTACTTCTCGTTTATCTCGTTTGCGTTCCATGAAAACGTGAAGATCTATCAAATCATCACTGTTGATGCAAGAAAATAACAGCACTTACGATGATACCGTTCCGATATTCTGCTCATTCCGCGGTTAAAGTAAACTTTCCTTCGGTATTTATCAATGACAGAAGAAAGTAATGTTCTTGAGTAAGGTGCGATTCACAAATTTTCCCCACTACAAGACAAAATCAGAGTATTCATTGGTTGTTCATAAGTGATCAAACAAACCTACGGCTTTTAGGAAGCTACTTCTCGTTTATCTCGTTTGCGTTCCATGAAAACGTGACGGTCTATCAAATCATGACTGTCGATGCAAGAAAATTACAGCCCTTACGATTATAGCATTCGGATATTCTACTTACTACGCGATAAAAACTGAACGTTCATTGTACGTTCACTGATGATGCGAGAATATAGCAGTTCCTAGGACGATGTTGTTGGTATATTTTGAAGACCCCAGTGGAAAGACTCAACGTAGACCACATTTGGAGTACATATTAAAAAAGCGACCTAGTCATAGGATGATTATCATTGGATATTTCTCTTGGTGAATGATAAAGACTGGAAGCCTTTACGAAGTAGAAGTCTCATGAGGATAATGGCTACCTATTAGGAATTCGCCATTCGAATTTTGTGTTCTGATCATATGGCTCATTAGAAGTACAGGTGCAATTGGGCGGCGGTGAAATGAAAGAACATTCCTAATAATATTATTCTCGTATTTTGCTCTATTGCTGTGCGTAACAGAATATTCAATTTAATCCATCTGCCACGAGCCTAGCGAGGAGCTGTTAGTACGTCAGTATTCGTATACTTTGTTTACGGCATGTGAAAGTTTAAATATTCATCAAATACTTACTGATCAAAAAATAGACGGACTTCTTCTACCATCTATCTTTTCATTTATCCATTAGAAGTTTTGTCAAGCGCGATTCTGGTTGTTTAGAACCACAATCACGTTATACATGAGTCAGCTTTACAAGAAAAAAGTTCATATATTTTTATTCTGCTTGTGGTTTATGTTTTGTATTCTTGACATCATCAAAAGTCACATAAGACAGAAACGGGTTCGAGTTAGAAGTGTCTATTCAAGCTGTAGTATTATATGCAACGAAGAATTCCATGCAACTAAGAGATTTCACAGTGGTAAGGCAATAGTACAACTGAAACCGTAATTTCATTTCAATATTTTGTGTATTGAAAAACAACTGGTTCCCAGTGACTATGCAGCTAGAGGTTGAGTATTTTGTGATATACTATACTAAAAACGTATTCATATTTAAGAAAGACAGTTTAACAGTAGGATACTCGACTTGTGTTGATACCAACATTGTTGGATTAATTGAATGATACCAACAACAAAGGCTTCATGCCAATATCTTATTCTTCTTTATGTCGCATCCATCGCGACTAATAGATTGGTATATGACGAATCAAGTGAATCTTTTAAAGGAAATGAATATTTCAATATGCTACTTTCTGTAAAATTAAAATGCGAGCACAGTAATAGGACTAATAATCACCTAGTAACTGAATATATGTGTGGTTCTATTCCGATACTGCGTACTGGCCCAAATACTAAGACGACCTATTATTCGTTCGCCGATGGTTAAATAAGTGTATAGATTAGAGTGGCCTGTTCTGTTGTTCAAATGACGTGTTCTTTCGACATCAAACATTCGAGACAAGAGCTATGTGAGTTAGTCTCATGAAAATGGAACGAGTGATATTAAAATGATATTCAAATAACTTATTCAATCCATCCTATTCTGAGAAAATTGTCATAAGTCTAATATCATGCGACAAAAAGATTTCGCATACAAAAGATAAATATTAGTATTTGGTGGCCACCTACACTACTGTTTTTCATGTGACTTATGTTACAAGATGCTACGGTTTATCTATCATTACAAACAAATTGTCTTTCGTATAATAGATTCAATTAATTCAAAAGTTCAATATATTCTTCTACTCACAGATGACATCACCGATGTAGGATCCACAGCAAGCTTTTATTCAAATAATTTATATGGTTGTAATACATTATCAACAGTAGTGGTCATACTGAAGGGTGGCATTTCAAATGAGTTGCTTACACTAAATGCTTATTCAACTATCTCACTAATAACTCATCAGGCTCTATAGCACACACATTAAATTGTCAACTAATAAATGAATTGTACACAAGAATTTCGTATACATATATTTACATCGCCTTAAATTATAATCATAGCTTATATGACAAGAGGAACCATGTTACATTTAGTTACTGATTCTAAGCATGAACCTATTCAAAAACTTTTGTCATATTAGACCGAGCTTCAATGCTTCGATAGTACTTGAAATTTTATAAAAATGGGATAAATGATAGCAAGTTTTTATTCCTGTGCCACTTTGGATGCGAAGCACAGTTTGCAGACGTAAGTCTGAGAGAATACTTCGAAGAAAGAGAACATTATGAACAAGTCTATTATTCGAAATTCCAGTAATTTTGAAGCATTGATATGACATGCCACATATGATGAACGTAACAGAGTTTCATGAATAATTCTAAGAAATGTCTAATTCAAATATCTATTTCGTCATTACTCATTGCATCTCAGCTGTACCAATGAATGTATTGACATTGAAAGCAAACAAATCATAGTTGAATCATCAATTATATCGTCTCGTTTCTGTAAAGTCAAACTCGGTTGAAAGTCTTCGCCATCATCAGATGTTGCTCCAACTATGTTGTAAGCTACTACGAGAACAACGATTGACAAGAGAGAAACGACTTTTGTATTGAGAATCATTTTCTAGCAACTATATTGAATTCTATATGAACAAATGTACGTACTGACTAAATAATAAATATTTAATCAAATGTTGTAAGCAATCTTCTGCAGTCTTTTATAAATACGTATATTAAAATACATGCTAATTTACAAGGAAGAAATTTTCATGTTTGCTTTCATTTTCTCACTTCCGCTGTTTTAATAAAAATCATGAGATCGTTATATTGTATCGTGGGCTTAAATTATAAGGATACCTTCAATATTAATGAGGGGAAAATGAATCAGACAGAGAACCAAATTTCTTTTTTTATGCAATCGCCTTTTCGTCGACATATACTGCAATATTGATCTGATGGTTGCAACGGTAGATAGTCGTGAGCCTTTTGAGTATGACTTAAGCCATCTATGTCTGATACAAATCTGTATTGATGAAACAGAAAAACAAGCGTGTACAAGAAAGTGCATACTAAACATCTACATCAAGACAACAACAACCAACACTGTAAAAAAAATTCGTAGAATAAGAAACCCTAGTACATTCGGAAAATTTTCCTAAACCCTTAAAGGGTTTAGGAGAACCACATAAACCCTTTAAGGGTTTTTGAGAAAAAGGGTATTTGATAAAAAGGGTATTTTAAATGAAAAAAGGGTTTATGCGGAGAAAAAGAAAGGTTCATCAA